TGGGAGAGGGGGAGGGAACAGCGGCGCGTGCGCGGAGGGAGGGAGGAGGGAAGAGCCGCGGCGGCGGGGGGGGGAGAGAGCTGCGCATGTGCGGGGCTGGGAGTGGGAAGGGCGGAAGTGACGTCTGAAGGCGGCGGCGCCGCCATCTTGAGAGCGGGAAAAATGGGAGAATTGAGGGGAAATTGGGAAAAATTGGGGAGAATGGGAGGAAATTTGGAAAAACTGAAGAGCATGGGGAAAATTTGGGAGAAATCTGGGGAAAATGGTAGAAAGTGTGGGAGAATGGGAAAAAAAATTGGAAAAATCAAAGAAAATGGGGAAAATTTTGGGAAAAAATGGGAGAAATCTGGGGAAAATGGGAGAGAGTGTGAGAAAATGGGAAAAAAATAGGAGAAAATTGGGAAAAATGGGGGAAATTGGAAAAATTGGGAGAAAACGGAAGAAATCTGGGGGAAAGTGTGAGAAAATGGAGAAAATGGGGAAATGGGAGAAAAAATTTTAAAAATTGAAGAAAATAGGGAAAATTGGAGAAAATGGGAAAAAATCAGGAAAAAATGGGAGAAATCTGGGGAAAATTAGGAGAAGATTTGGAAAAAATTGAAGAAAATGGGGAAAATCGGTAAATTTTGAGAGAAACTGGGAGAAATTTGGAAAAATTGGAGAAAATAAAGGAAAATTGGGGGAAATGGGGAGAGCCGGGGGAATCAGATGGGGAAATGGGGCCGGGGGGGGCCCCACATCTCCCCATGGGGGGGGTCCCGCCGTGGGGCGCCCCCAGCCCCACACTGACCCTTCCAGCGCTGCCCGGGGGCGGGGCCTGGTCCCACTCTCGCCAATCAGAGCGCTGGCCCGGCCCCTCCCGCCCTTTTCCAGCCAATCAGAGCGCGGCGCAGCCTCACTCTGCTTCCCCCTCCCCGGCGCCGTTTGAAATCGCTGACGTCACGGCGGCCACGCCCTCCTCCCCGTCCCGCGCGCTGATTGGCCGCCGCCGCTCTCCCGCCTTCTTTTGATTGGCCCCTCCGGGTTCTCCCTCCCCTCTCACCCCCCCCCCGATGACGTCATTCTCCCCCGCCGCGATTGGAGGACGCGCTGCCAAGCCCCTCCCTCCTTCTGATTGGCTCTGGCGATCGCGGGAACGGGACGGGGGCGGGGCTTATGGGACACTCGAGGAAACCCACGGGGCTACCGCTGAGGCTCATGGGATGGTGGAGGACCCCCATTGGCGGTCATGGGACACTGGAGGACCCCCCCGGGCTGCCCCAGAGGCTCATGGGATGGTGGAAGACCCCATAGGCGCTCATGGGACGCTGGAGGACCCCCCGGGCTGCCCCCGAGGCTCATGGGACGCTGGAGGACCCCCATTGGATTGCCCCCGAGGCTCATGGGACACTGGAGGACCCCCATTGGATTGCCCCTGAGGCTCATGGGACACTGGAGGACCTCCATAGGCGCTCATGGGACACTGGAGGACCCCATTGGGCTGCCCCAGAGGCTCATGAGATGGTGGAAGACCCCATAGGCGCTCATTGGACGCTGGAGGACCCCCCCGGGCTGCCCCCGAGGCTCATGGGACGCTGGAGGACCCCCATTGGATTGCCCCGGAGGCTCATGGGGACACTGGAGGACCCCCATAGGCGCTCATGGGACACTGGAGGACCCCCATTGGATTGCCCCGGAGGCTCATGGGACGCTGGAGGACCCCCATAGGCGCTCATGGGATGCTGGAGGACCCCATTGGATTGCCCCCGAGGCTCATGGGACTCTGGAGGACCCCCATAGGCACTCATGGGACACTGGAGGACCCCCATTGGATTGCCCCTGAGGCTCATGGGACGCTGGAGGACCCCCATAGGCGCTCATGGGACACTGGAGAACCCCCATAGGCGCTCATGGGACGCTGGAGGACCCCATTGGATTGCCCCCGAGGCTCATGGGACACTGGAGGACCCCCATTGGATTGCCCCCGAGGCTCATGGGACACTGGAGGACCCCCATTGGATTGCCCCCGAGGCTCATGGGACACTGGAGGACCCCCATAGGCGCTCATGGGACGCTGGAGGACTCGGAGCTCTTTATTGGCCGCTCTAGGCGGGCGCCACGGAGGAGTTGGAGACCGAGGAGACCTCGGTGCGGGACGTGGAGACCTCGGAGCCGTCGTCGACCTTCTTCCCGAAGAGCTGCAGGATGCAGTTCCGGAACTGCGCGAGCCCCGGGTCAGCGCCGTGGGGCCAGAGCCGGACCCACACACACAGACACGGACCCACACACACAGACAGGGACCCACAGACACAGACACGGACCCACACACACAGACACGGAACCCACACACACAGACAGGGACCCACACACACAGCCCCGGGCCCCACACACCAGCCCTGGACCCACAGACACAGCCCCGCACCCACAGCCACAGCCCCAGACCCACAGACACAGCCCCAGACCCACAGACACAGCCCCAGACCCACAGACACAGCCCCAGACCCACAGACACAGCCCCAGACCCACAGACACAGCCCCGCACCCACAGCCACAGCCCCAGACCCACAGACACAGCCCTGGACCCACAGACACAGCCCCACAGACCCCAGCCCTGCCGTAGCTCCCAGCTCTAAGCTCCGTGTCCCATCTCCATCACGTCCATCTCTGACCTCCCTTCTCCATCTCCACCTCCTGTCTTCATCACCTCCATCTCCCACCTCCATCACCTCAATCGTCTCCATCTCCCATCTCCATCATCCCCATGTCCCACCTCCATCTCCTACCCCCATCTCCATCACCCCCATCTCCATCACCTCCATCTCCATGTCCCGCCTCCAGTCCCATGTCCTGTCTCCATCATCCCCATCTCCACCATCTCGATCATCTCCACCTTCTGTTTCCATCACCTCCATCTCCAATCTCCATCATCCCCATGTCCCGTCTCCACCTTTCTCCCATCTCACCTCCCATTTCCCATCTCCATCACCCCCATCTCTTATCCCCATCTCCATCATCTTGATCATCTCCACCTCTCATCTCCATCACCTCCATCTCCATCATCCCATGTCCCATCTCCACCTCTGTCTCCCATCCCATCACCTCCATCTCCTATCCCCATCTCCACATCCCCATCTCCCATCACCTCCATCTCCATCTCCATCACCTCCATCATCTCCACCTCCCATCTCCATCACCTCCATCTCCATCGTCCCCCACCTCCATCTCCATCATCCCCATGTCCCATCTCCACATCCCCCACATCCCATGTCCATCATCTCCATCTCCTCTCCCCATCTCCCATCTCCATCATCCCCATGTCCCCACTCCACCTCTGTCTCCCATCCCCATCACCTCCATCTCCTATCCCCATCTCCATCACCTCCATCATCTCCACCTCCCATCCCCATCACCTCCACCTCCTATCCCCATCTCCATCACCTCCATCACCTCCATCATCTCCATGTCCCATCTCCATCACCTCCATCACCTCCACCATCCCCACATCCCATCTCCTCTCCCCAACTCCATCATCCCCATCACCTCCACCATCCCCATGTCCCATCTCCACCTCCCATCCCCATCACCTCCATCATCCCCATGTCCCACCTCCATCAACCTCCACCATCTCCCACCATCCCCATGTCCCATTTCCTATCCCCATCTCCATCACCTCCATCACCTCCATCATCTCCACCTCCCATCCCCATCACCTCCATCTCCTATCCCCATCTCCATCACCTCCATCACCTCCATCATCTCCACCTCCCATCCCCATCACCTCCATCTCCTATCCCCATCTCCATCACCTCCATCACCTCCATCATCTCCACCTCCCATCCCCATCACCTCCATCTCCCTATCCCCATCTCCATCACCTCCATCACCTCCATCATCTCCACCTCCCATCTCCATCACCTCCATCTCCTCTCCCCGTCTCCATCACCTCCATCACCTCCATCATCTCCATGTCCCATCTCCTCTCCCCAACTCCATCATCCCCATCACCTCCACCATCCCCACATCCCCATCTCCTCTTCCCAACTCCATCATCCCCATCACCTCCATCATCCCCATGTCCCACCTCCATCACCTCCACCATCTCCACCATCCCCACGTCCCATCTCCTCTCCCCAACTCCATCATCCCCATCACCTCCACCATCCCCATGTCCCACCTCCACCACCTCCACCCCCCATCCGCACCCCCACGCGCCCCCCACCTGTCTGTTCATGAACACGTAGATGATGGGGTTGTAGATGGTGGCGCTCTTGGCGAAGTATGCGGGGAGCGCGGCGGCCAGCGGGTGGAAGGCGTAGCCGGGGTTGGCGGCGGCGAAGCAGGCGAGATGGTGTAGGGCCCCCAGCAGAAGCAGTAGGCCAGGATCATCACCACCACCATGCGCGACACCTCCCGCTCCGCCTTCTGCGTCGACTCCGACTCCTTCTGCTGCGCCGCCACCTGCGGGGACAGCCGGCAATGGGGGGCGCCGTGGGGCTCCGCGCTCGCTCGCGAGGCTCTCTGGGCCTGGATGTGTCTCTAGGGGGCGTTATCAATCTCTATGGTGGCGATGGGGTTCTCTGGGTCTCTGTGGTCTTGATGAGTCTCTAGGGGGCGCTATGGGTCTCTAGGGCGCGCTATCGCTCTGTATGGTAGCTATGAGGCTCGCTGTGTCTCTATGCGTCTCTGCTCTCTATGGGTCGCTGTGGGTCACATGGCGTGGAAGGCCAGCCACGCTATGGGTCACTATGGGGTGCTACGGGTCAGGCTATAGGTCTCTATGGGTTGCTGTGGGTCACTCAGGGTGCAGATGGCCAGCCACACTATAGGTCTCTGTGGGTGCTATGGGTCGCTATGGGTCTCTATGGGGGCTGTGGGTCGCTATGGGTCTCTATGGGGGCTGTGGGTCACTCATGGCGCGGATGGCCAGCCACACTATGGGTCAATATGGGTGCTATGGGTCATGCTATGGGTCTCTCTGGGTCTCTCTGGGGGCTGTGGGTCACTCACGGCGCGGATGGCCAGCCCACACTATGGGTCACTATGGGTGCTATGGGTCGCTATGGGTCTCTCTGGGGGCTGTGGGTCACTCACGGCGTGGATGGCCAGCCACACTATGGGGTCACTATGGGTCTCTATGGGTCGCTATGGGTCTCTATGGGTCGCTATGGGTCTCTCTGGGGGCTGTGGGTCACTCACGGCACGGATGGCCAGCCACACTATGGGTCACTATGGGTGCTATGGGTCTCTATGGGTCTCTATGGGTGCTATGGGTCGCTATGGGTCTCTCTGGGGGCTGTGGGTCACTCACGGCGCGGATGGCCAGCCACACTATGGGTCACTATGGGTGCTATGGGTCGCTATGGGTCTCCCTGGGGGCTGTGGGTCACTCACGGCGCGGATGGCCAGCCACACTTGCAGGTAGCAGAGGATGATGATGGAGAGCGGGAGGAAGCAGCAGGTCACCATGAGCACCACCATGTAGGACTGCACCCCCGGGTCCGAGCTGCCGCTGAACACGTCGGGGCCGCACGAGGTCTTCAGCCCGTGGGGCCAGTACCTGCAGCGACCCCCAAGCGCTATGGGTCACTGTGGGTCACTGTGGGTCACGCTATGGGTGACTATGGGTAACACTGTGGGTCACACTATTGGTCTCTATGGGTTACTAAGGGTCACTATGAGTCACACTATGGATCACCATGGGTCACAATATGGGCCACTATGGGTCACACTGCGGGTCTCTATGGGTCACTATAGGTCACGCTATGGGTTGCTATGGGTCACTATGCATCACACTATGGGGTCACTATGGGTCACACTCTGGGTCTCTATGGGCCACACTATGGGGTCCCTATGGGTCACACTATGGGTTGCTGTGGGTCACACTATGGGTCTCTATGGGCCACACTATGGGTCCCTGTGGGTCACACTCTGGGTCGCTGTGGGGTCCACACTCTGGGTCGCTGTGGGTCACACTATGGGTTGCTGTGGGTCACACTCTGGGTCGCTGTGGGTCACACTATGGGTCTCTCTGGGTCGCTGTGGGTCACACTCTGGGTCCCTATGGGTCACACTCTGGGTCGCTGTGGGTCACACTATGGGTCTCTCTGGGTCGCTGTGGGTCACACTCTGGGTCGCTGTGGGTCACACTCTGGGTCGCTGTGGGTCAGCCCCACCTGCTCCAGCCGAAGATGGGCGGCGCGGTCCAGGCGCAGCTCCAGACCCAGGAGAAGACGATCCCGGCCACGGCGAGCTTCCCGTCGAACTTGATGTTCCCCGAAGGGTTTGCACACCACGAACCAGCGCTCCCAGGGAGATGATGGCCAAGGACCAGAGCGCCGTGATGCCTGCGGCACAGGAGACAGGCCGTAGAGAACGGAGAGAACGGAGAGAACGGAGAGAACAGAGAGAGACCATAGAGACATCAGAGACCATAGAGAGAACGGAGAGAACGGAGAGAATGGAGAGAACGGAGAGAGAATGGAGAGAGACCAGAGAGACATCAGAGACCAGAGAGACACCGGAGAGACAGACCCCCAAAACCATAGAGACCAGAGAGAGACCAGAGAGGGACCAGAGAGAGAGAGCAGAGACCATAGAGAGACCATGGAGACACTGATAGAGAGACCAAAGGGGCCCCACAGCTCTGCCCCATTGCTCACCCCCACATCTCCCATGCCCCCCATTGCTCTCCCCCATTGCTCACCCCCTGGCTCACCCCCACATACCCCCCCTCCAGCTCACCCCCACTGCTCACCCCCATTGCTCTCCCCCACTTCTCACCCCCATTGCTCTCCCCCATTTCTCACCCCCATTTCTCACCCCCATTTCTCACCCCCATTTCTCACCCCCATTTCTCACCCCCATTTCTCACCCCCATTGCTCTCCCCCATTTCTCACCCCCATTTCTCACCCCCATTTCTCACCCCCATTGCTCTCCCCATTTCTCACCCCCATTGCTCTCCCCCATTTCTCACCCCCATTTCTCACCCCCACTGCTCACCCCCATTGCTCTCCCCCACTTCTCACCCCCATCGCTCTCCCCCATTTCTCACCCCCATTTCTCACCCCCATTTCTCACCCCCATTTCTCACCCCCATTTCTCACCCCCACTTCTCACCCCCATTTCTCACCCCCATTGCTCTCCCCCATTTCTCACCCCCACTGCTCACCCCCATTGCTCTCCCCCATTTCTCACCCCCATTTCTCTCCCCCATTTCTCACCCCCATTGCTCTCCCCCATTTCTCACCCCCATTTCTCACCCCCATTGCTCTCCCCCATTTCTCACCCCCATTTCTCACCCCCATTTCTCACCCCCATTTCTCTCCCCCATTTCTCACCCCCATTTCTCACCCCCATTTCTCACCCCCATTGCTCTCCCCCATCGCTCTCCCCCATTTCTCACCCCCATTTCTCACCCCCATTTCTCACCCCCATTTCTCACCCCCATTTCTCTCCCCCATTTCTCACCCCCATTGCTCTCCCCCATTTCTCACCCCCATTTCTCACCCCCATTTCTCTCCCCCATTTCTCACCCCCATTGCTCTTCCCCATTTCTCACCCCCATTTCTCACCCCCATTTCTCACCCCCATTTCTCACCCCCATTTCTCACCCCCATTTCTCTCCCCCATTTCTCTCCCCCATTTCTCACCCCCATTTCTCACCCCCATTTCTCTCCCCCATTTCTCACCCCCATTTCTCTCCCCCATTTCTCACCCCCATTGCTCTCCCCCATTTCTCACCCCCATTTCTCACCCCCATTTCTCACCCCCATTTCTCACCCCCATTGCTCTCCCCCATTTCTCACCCCCATTTCTCACCCCCATTTCTCACCCCCATTTCTCACCCCCATTGCTCTCCCCCATTGCTCTCCCCCATTGCTCTCCCCCCGTGTCCCCCGCCCCGCTCACCGCAGGCGCTGACGGTGTAGCCCTCGATGACGCAGAGCGGGTGCCCCAGCACGAAGTAGCCGAAGATCTGGTTGACGACGCTGATGGTGCTGGCGATGAGCGTCTCGCCCAGGTCGGCCAGCGCCAGGTTCACCAGGATCCAGTTGAGGGGGTGCCGCAGCTTCTTGAAGCGCCACGTGGCCGCCAGCACCAGCCCGTTGGTGAACACCGACGCCAGCACCACGAAGATCATCCAGAGCGACGTCACGTTGTACACCCACCGCGGCGCGATGTGGTAGTTGGGGCCGTCGAAGGGGCCTGCGGGGTGGGGCGGCGCGGGTCAGACCCATGGACACACACAGTGACCCATAGATACACACAGTGACCCACACAGTGACCCATAGACACACACAGTGACCCATAGACACACACAGTGACCCACACAGTGACCCATAGACACACACAGTGACCCATAGATACACACACAGTGACCCATAGATACACACACACATTGACCCAGAGCGCTGCCCCATAGACACGCACATGCACATTGACCCACAGCCAGACCCACAGCACTGCCCCATAGACACACACACAGACCCATAGCCAGACCCACAGCCAGACCCATAGACACGCACAGACCCACGCATTGCCCCATAGCACTGCCCCCCACCTTGCCCCCTTGCCCCCCGCTCCCCCCGGGCCCCACCGCGGGTGTTGTTGCTGTTGGTGTAGGTGAAGACGCTGTCGCGCGTCGTCTCCTCGTCCTCGTGCCGCCGCCGCGCCGCCATCACCGCCGGCCACGCGGCCGCCATGGGGCCGATGTGGGGTGCGGGGCTGCCGCTATGGGGCTGCTGCGGGGGGGCTGCAACGGCACCGCCGCGCTGCGTCACAGGCTCAATGTGGGGCAAAGGCGCTGCTGTGGGGCACGGGGCCGCTGCTATAGGTCGCAGTCCGCTATAGCTCTCAATCCGCTATATGTCACAGCCCGCTACGGGTCGTAGTCCGCTATAGGTCACAGTCTTCTATGGGTCGCAGTCCGCTGTAGGTCACAGTCCTCTATGGGTCACGGTCCGCTATAGGTCGCAATCCACTGTAGGTCTCAGCCCGCTATGGGTCACAGCCAGCTACAGGTATCAGCCCACTATGGGTCACGGTCTGCTATGGGTCTCAGTCCGCTGTGGATCGCGGAGCCACTGTGGGTCACGGTGCCGGCGCCTCTTATACCCACCCCCCCGGATTACCCCCCCGCCCCCCAAGCGCTGAGCCCCCGAATTGGGCCATGTGGGGCAGAGCCCCCCCGGCCCGGCCCGGCCTCACCCCGCTTTGCGCTGATGGGATTGAGCTAATCCCGGCCTCCGCCATCCCCCCCCCAGACCCACACTTGGGGGGCAGCGCAGCAGCACCAGCGCCCTGGACCCGCAGCGCAGGGCATCCTGCCCCATAGTGGGTGCTGCGACCCCTGCCCCATAACTGGGCTCTGTGACTCTCTTGCCCCATAGCGGGTGCTGGGGCCCTCCTGACCCACATATGGGGGTGATGAAACCTCCTTCCCCATAGCAGGTGCTGGGGCCCTACTGACCCACATATGGGGGTGATGAACCCCCCTGCCCCATAGCGGGTGCTGGGGCCTTCCTGACCCACATATGGGGGTGATGAACCCCCCTGCCCCATAGCGGGTGCTGGGGCCCTCCTGACCCACATATAGGGGGTGATGAGCCCCCCGCTGCCCCACAGCCAGTGCTGGACCTGACCTGCCCTAGAGCAGCGCTCTATGGCTCTCCTCTGCCCCACAGCAGGTGCTATGCCCCCCCACCCCATAGCTGGGTTCTAAGGTCCCTCTCACCCCATAGTAGGGTGCCCCCCCCCATAAGCAGGCTCTATGACCCCCCCAGCCCCATAACCAGGCCCTATGATCCCCCACCCCATAACCAGGCTCTATGAGCTCCCTGTCCCATAACTGGGCTCTATGACCCCCCAGCCCCATAACCAGGCTCTATGAGCCCCTGACCCCATAGGCAGGTGCTAGCCCCATAACCAGGCTCTATGATCCTCCCACCCCATAACCAGGCTCTATGGAGCCCCCCACCCCCTAGGGAGGTGCCAGCCCCATATCCGGGCTCTGATGTCCCTCTCACCCCATAGGCGGCTGCTGCCCGCCCCCTGCCCCACACCTGTGTTCAATGACCCTGCCCCATAACCGCGCTCTATGACCCCACCCCCCGCCCCCCAGCGAGTTCCGGCCCCCCCCCGGCGCGGGGCCAAGTGGGGCGCGGGGGGACCCCCCCGGTCCTAAAATAGCCCCGTCCCTAATGAGCAAATGGGGATTAATGGGGGGGGCGGGGGCCCCAAAACCCGCCCCTAATCCCCCCCCCTAAGCCGGATTGTCCGGTCGCTCCAGGGGAGCCCCATGGGGGGGATGCAGCGCCGTGGGGCAGGATGTGGGGAGCTATGGGGCAGTTATAGGTTGCTATGGGGCTGCTGTGGGGCAGTTATAGGGTGCTATGGGGCGCTATGGGGTGCTATGGGGCTGCTGTGGGGCGTCGCAGGCTGCACGGAGCCACCACCAACCACCACGGGGATGCCTTCGGGACGCAGTGGGTCGCTATGGGGCTGCTGTGAGTCACTGTGGGGCACTTGTGGGGCGGTGTGGGGCACTGTGGGTCACTATGGGTCTCTGTTTCTCTATGGGGAGCTATGGGTCTCTATGGGGCACTATGCGTCTCTGTCTCTATGGGTCTCCCTGGGACGCTATGTGTCTCTATGGGGTACTATGGGTCTCCATGGGGTGCTATGTCTCTATGGAGCTCTGTGGGTCTCTGTGGGGTGCTATGGGTCTCTATGGGTCTCCACCGGCTGCTACGTGTCTCTCCGTCTCTATGGGTCTCTGTGAGTCTCTATGAGACATTATGGGACTCTATGGGTCTCCATGGGGTGCTATGGGTCTCTGTGTGTCTCTATGAGTCTCCATGGGGTGCTATGGGGCTCTATGAGTCTCCATGGGGCGCTATGGGGCTCTATGAGTCTCCATGGGGCGCTATGGGGCTCTATGAGTCTCCATGGGGCGCTATGGGGCCGTGCGACTGGAATTCCGCTTGTTCTGAGCTCTTTACACTGGAAAGAGCCCGGGACCAGCAGGACTCGGCCGCGCGGCCCCACTGCGGCACTTGGGGGGCACTTGGGGGGCAGGAGGCGCTTGGGAGGTACTGGAGACGCACTTGGGGTCAGGAAGCACTTGGTGGGCACTTGGGGGGCAGGAGGCACTTGTGGGTCTCGGGTTGCTCCCCGTGGGGCAGAGGTGGAGGCAGCGTCACCGCGTTTATTGCGGGGGGGGGGCTGTGTGTGTGTGTTTATGTACATCAGGATCCGTGGGGCTGCCCCACGGCGAGCGGCGGGGGGGCTGACCCATGGCACCCCCAGCATCCCCCCTCCGGAGCCACACGTCGCCCCAGGGGGCAGAGGATGCCGTGGGGCAGGGTCCAGTCGCGCCGTGGGTCCCGCGATGGGGCAGGCCCCGCCGTGGGTCCCGCTATGGGGCGGGTGAGACCTGGCTGCTGACGGCCGAGACCTGCGTGGCCTGGGAGGAGCCGGAGGCGTCGTCCTCGTCCGCCAGGGGGCTCCTCCCGCAGAACACGAGCTTCAGCATGCACGAGCGGAACTGGGGGGGCGTGACGTCATCGCCGCGGCTGTGACGTCATACAGACCCCCGCCCCACAGAGCGCCCCACAGAGACCCCATAGAAAGAGCCCCACAGACCCCCATAGAGCACCGAGAGAGCCCCATCGAGCCCCCACAGCCACCTCATAGACCCTCATAGAGCCCCACAGCCTCCCCATAGAGCCCCATAGAGCCCCACAGCCACCACATAGAGCCCCATAGAGCCCCACAGACTCCCCATAGAGCCCCATAGCCACCTCATAGACCCTCATAGAGCCCCACAGCCACCACAGAGACAACCATAGAGCCCCATAGCCTCCCCATAGAGCCCCATAGCCACCTCATAGACCCCCATAGAGCCCCATAGCCTCCCCATAGAGCCCCCATAGCCACCTCATAGACGCTCATAGAGCCCCATAGCCTCCCCATAGAGCCCCATAGCCTCCCCATAGAGCCCCATAGCCACCCCATAGACCCTCATAGAGCCCCCATAGACACCTCATAGAGCCCCATAGAGCCCCATAGCCTCCCCATAGAGCCCCATAGCCACCCCATAGACCCTCATAGAGCCCCCATAGACACCTCATAGAGCCCCATAGAGCCCCATAGCCTCCCCATAGAGCCCCATAGCCACCTCATAGACCCCCATAGAGCCCCATAGCCTCCCCATAGAGCCCCATAGCCACCTCATAGACCCCCATAGAGCCCCATAGCCTCCCCATAGAGCCCCATAGCCTCCCCATAGAGCCCCATAGCCTCCCCATAGAGCCCCATAGCCACCCCATAGACCCTCATAGAGCCCCCATAGACACCTCATAGAGCCCCATAGAGCCCCATAGCCTCCCCATAGAGCCCCATAGCCACCCCATAGACCCTCATAGAGCCCCCATAGCCACCCCATAGACCCTCATAGAGCCCCCATAGCCACCCCATAGACCCTCATAGAGCCTCATAGCCACCTCATAGACACCTCATAGAGCCCCATAGCCACCTCATAGACCCCCATAGAGCCCCCATAGCCACCCCATAGACCCTCGTAGAGCCCCCATAGACACCTCATAGAGCCCCATAGAGCTCCATAGCCTCCCCATAGAGCCCCATAGCCACCCCATAGACCCTCATAGAGCCCCCATAGACACCTCATAGAGCCCCATAGAGCCCCATAGCCTCCCCATAGAGCCCCATAGCCACCCCATAGACCCTCATAGAGCCCCCATAGACACCTCATAGAGCCCCATAGAGCCCCATAGCCTCCCCATAGAGCCCCATAGCCACCCCATAGACCCTCATAGAGCCCCCATAGACACCTCATAGAGCCCCATAGAGCCCCATAGCCTCCCCATAGAGCCCCATAGCCACCTCATAGACCCCCATAGAGCCCCATAGCCTCCCCATAGAGCCCCATAGCCACCCCATAGACCCTCATAGAGCCCCCATAGACACCTCATAGAGCCCCATAGAGCCCCATAGCCTCCCCATAGAGCCCCATAGCCACCCCATAGACCCTCATAGAGCCCCCATAGACACCTCATAGAGCCCCATAGAGCCCCATAGCCTCCCCATAGAGCCCCATAGCCACCTCATAGACCCCCATAGAGCCCCATAGCCTCCCCATAGAGCCCCACAGCCACGTCATAGACCCCCATAGAACCCCATAGCCTCCCCATCGAGCCCCCATAGCCACCCCATAGACCCTCATAGAGCCCCCATAGACACCTCATAGAGCCCCATAGAGCCCCATAGCCACCTCATAGACCCCCATAGAGCCCCATAGCCTCCCCATAGAGCCCCATAGCCTCCCCATAGAGCCCCATAGCCACCCCATAGACCCTCGTAGACCCCCATAGACACCTCATAGAGCCCCATGGCCCCGCACAGACCCACCATAGACCCCCTGTGCACCCCATAGGCCCCCATAGCCTCCACAGCCCCTGTTGACGCCCCATTCCCCATAGTCCCTCTTGACGCCCATCCCCCGGTCCCTGTGACCCCCTCCCCTCCCCCACCTGCTTGTTCATGAGCACGTAGATGACGGGGTTGTAAACGGTGGAGGCCTTGGAGAACACGGACGGGACGGAGGCGAGGGCGGGCTCGAGGGGGCGCCCGCGGTGCGAGACGGCCCAGAGGGCGAAGGCGGCGTAGGGCAGCCAGCACGTGAGGAAGCCCA